GAATGATCTTGATGTTGCCTATAGATTTGTACGGTACATTGCGTCAAAATAAGCAAGGCTACAACTAGTGTTTACACATATGCTTAACGAAAGTGCATGGAGAAAAGAACATTCTTTACTATTGAACAAGATTTTTGTGGGTGCGCCTGCTTCCACATGCAAATGGGCACATTCTTTGTGCACCAAGCTATAAACAGATTTGACGCAAAGCTGAGTTAATAGTAGGCACCTGCATCGGACTGTAGAGGCTCTTGCACAAGACCATCACGCACAAGCACACTGGTAAATTGGGTGGCTAAAATGCGCTTCTTAGATGGACTCTGGATGTCTCAGTGACCCACCCAGCTCTATTGTTGAGATGCATCGCCGAAATCCAGTAACTGGTGTTACTTACGTTGCTCGTGGAACAAACACAAATGAGCGAGATAATCTCGACCTAGCATTGTTGCTCCTGGCCAATTACATAGGTGAGCAAATGATCCAGTTGCTGTTGCTTCAACTTGGTGCATATACTAACATCGCGTATTTGACCACTGACCTTTACTAGGGATACACCGGGCAGAGCGCATTATTTCCTGCTTTTTCGAAGAAAGGAATCAGAGAAGAAATGTGACTCGATTGGGGGCTAATGATTATGGCATCATCAATTTAGAGAAGCTTCTTCTTATCAATGCCTACGCAGAGAAGGTAGGATTCGAGGAACGGCCCTATGACCTTGCTGCTCCCAAGCGATGTGATGACGGACCGAAGGAGTATCTTGGCTTCAACTATTCTGCCCCGCCTCCCGAAACAATGGATATATCAAATCCTACTGAGGTGGATGGTGCTGGTTACGCGTCTGGGGAGAATGGAGAAGAAGTGGAGGCCATTAATGACGAAGACGAAATTGTTCCAGAGTCCCAAGAAGAAATCCAGCGAGTTCTTGGTAGTCAACTTGGCGATGATATGGATATAGAGGTATTCGGTACTGAAGAAGAATACCAGGCATCCCTTGAACGAGATAACAGGCAAGCTGGAAGACAACAAGCCGATGCAATCAGCGACGCTGCTACCGCCAATGATCGCTTGCATCGAATCCTTATCCAACAGGAACTCGACAAACTTCTGCCAACAGATACATCTCGCGAGTCAACCCTTGAAGCATTCAGACGACTTTCCAACCAGTGCGAGTGGATACCGTTCAGGTCAACAGATAGTGCAACAGAGGCAACCGACATCGACAGAGCTGAAGCCACTCTTTTTGCCGAATGGTCACCGCGCTATCAAAGACACGTTGCATCAGGCCCAACAAGCTACAAAGCTTTTGAACGCGATTGGAATGCAGAATGTTCAAGACGATTCCGGCTTTGGACCACCCAAGGAGACCAGTCCAATGTCATGCAGATAAAGTATAAGAGTCGGCTTCTCCTACAGCAACACTATGACAAAGTGCAACAGCAAGAAAGCCTTCTTGGAGTGCTGCCGACTGATGACAATGATAGAGCCACTTTGGATGGCACTCTAAGGGCGAACAGGAGAGGACTCCCAGCATCTGCAAATCCAAGAACTCGAAACACAGAGCCAACACAATACCACAACAGAGGCGCCACACCTTTTGGGAATCCCACAGCTTTAAATCCAGAAGTAGCTGTTGGCGCGTTGGTGGCTGCAGCAGCTAATGGTACACTAACACCTGCTGTTGCTAATGCTGCTTATCAAGTTGCTCTAACTCAAGTTCCTGTGTCAGAGCCAACAAGACCAAGGAGACTCATCTTCAGGAGCAGGAAGTATTGCAACAAGTGTGGATTCAAAAAGAGTGACCATGTCATTGCTGTGGAGGGAGTGGCCAAAGAATGCAAGAGAGACTATTGTGGGAGGTGCATGCAGAGAAAGCAGTTCCATGGCCCCAATGAGGGCTTTGGTCCTACTTGCAGCAAACAGATACACAACAGGCAGGTCTCTACTGTGGCAGAATGGTACCAGGCCAGTGTAAGTTATGACTTTGACACTTTACTATTGTTACTGTGACACCAACTGGATTACAAACAACAACAAGTCTTACAGCTGTTGCTCCTCTTTTCTTTTCAGACATAAATCAGTCAAGGTGCATTGGGTAAGAGTAGCCACCATGATGAAGAGTGAATGCAGCTCTGTGGGAAATGTACTGCTCACTACTGATTGCCATTCCACTTAAGTTGTTCTTGTGCTGGCTCCAACACTCTGTGTCAAACCACTCTTCCCACTCTGTAAGTAACAATGACTTCACTTCAATATTGTCTCCACCAATACCTTGCTGGTGAAGGGCACCTCTCATAAGTGGTTTGATTGCTTGTTTGCACATCTCTTTCCTTGTGACAGGTTCATGCTCATACACTTCCCATGCAAGCTCAGCAAGAACTTCACTGTACCATTCATTGCTGTGCCTGACACCCCACACAAACATCTCATCCAAGAGCCAAGTCTGATCAGGAGTCATTGGCAGCGCATTCCCTTCCATGATGAGTTGCTCAAGGATCCCACTGGAAAGGTATCTGGTCTTTACAAGCAAGTACTGGGTTCTACTGTCTTCCCTGTCAGTCTGATCCTCTAGCAAAACATGCTTGCACACATAACTCTGCCTGGTTTTCCTCATCTCATTGTAAGGGTAGCGATCGTTAACATCTAGCCATTCTTTAAATGCATGACTAGCACTGAACAACATGGTGATGTAGCAGCTTTGCTGTAGTGCACTGTAGGTTTTCAATGACTCCAAGCTCCCACGGAAACTCGAGGAAACATACGTCTTCGAAAATGTGAGGACGATTTTGTGAGAGAGGTACGGTGCACCTCAGCGAATAAGTCTTCATCTGTTCCACAAGACTCCAACGGTCACATTAAGACTCACGAGAGTTAGGCTGAATTTTTGAATCGGTCTAAGTAAATAAACTTTAGTACAATTGAGCACAGTGGACTAGTCTTGTATCATATTTCAGTACTCGTTGTCTGTAACCTCCACTCGCCAACACCACTAGTAGCTGTTGAGTTGGAGTCGAGTCCAAAGTCGTTCCGGGAACACAAAGTCTTTTTAAAGCTTTTACACTGACTTCTCCCTACAGTGAGAAAAACGTCAAGGATTTGTCTGGGAGGGTGCCTTTAAATCTTTACACTTGCGATCAACCGGAGAAGGCTTTTGATGCCGGACACTGTACTAAAAGAAGGGCTTTTTCACTGGTTGGCTAGCTATCCAGCTCAACCATCAAATTTGGAGCGGGTCCTCACGTCCTCACCAACTGGTACTTAGTACCAACTGTGCACCAACTACAGTGGTGACGGAAATCCACCCGGCCAGTCCCAGCCCAAAGACCTGAGCCGTGCACCACGAGAGCAACGGTCTGAGCACGGGTTGATCTCCCAAAGTTCGCAGACCTAAAGTGGTGCTCACAACATTGCACTTCACTCCCTGTCGATTACTTTTCTCTCCAATCATCTATAGACATCGCCCCTTCTGTCTGACTACGTGAAATACCACTGCAGGAAGATGAGCTACAATGACATTAACGATGAAGAAACCGAGTTTCAATTGAATGAACTGTGCTTGCCCACCGCTTCGTCCCCAGTGGGCCGGGCGAAACAGTGGAATTTGCTCGTGGAGGCCTACAGAAGAGTTGCCGGTGTACCCGGTGCCACCTACGAAGTCGAAGAAAGCGAAGCCAATGACGGGCTTGCAGCATCTCTATCCAGCGCCAACGTATCCTTTGTTTCAGATGGTTCGGTAGGATCTTTCTCGGCAGCTTTAGCTTGCAAGAGGAGAGGAAGCCATGGTAGCTCTATTGTATCTAACGCCCTTCTGGATTCATTCGACCTAGGATCGGAAATCTTACTGGTAGAGGGGAACGCAGGAAGTGGCAAAACCTTTTTGATTCAAAGACTCAAGAACATGATTCACGAGATTGCACAGAAAGATCTACTTGCACAACCCAACCCCAACCTTGACCAACCTCAACACGACGACGCCACCCTTTCCACCAGGGCAAGTACCATATCCGGACCCTCCACCTCCTCTTTGCCGCAAATAGATTATTCCGAGTTGCCGACTGGCCTCTTTGCACAGGGATCGTTCAGCAACGGAAATTCCTCTGTGCCATACTCTGCCTTGACGGATGCATTCAACGACGTCATTGGACAACTCTTGTTGGATTGCCTCGTCGACCACGAAGCGTTGAGACAAGAACTGGAAATGGCGATTGGAGCTGACTTTGTCAGACTTTTCCACATAGTGCCAAGACTCCAAGATATCATAGGAGACGCCCTCGTCGCACAACCACTGAATACATCTGGGTCGCTCCTCACTGCCGATTCCGCTTCCGGTGTCAGATACCTCTTTCGGACGCTGGTGCGAGCACTGGCCGCTGTTGTCGGCACTTTCTATGACGGACCCCTCGTCATTTTTCTTGATGATGCTGAACGCATTGATCCCGCATCGGCTCAGTTGTTGACATCTCTTGGAACAGAAACTGATTCGGACAATATCCTCTTCATATTGGCTGTTCGATCTGAAGAATTTCATCACGACCACCCTTTGCGCGCCACGCTCAAGACAGTAGAAGAGGCTGCGGCCGTGCGGTTCTCAAACATACAGCTCGATGATCTCACTCGAGACCAAGTGACAGAGGTCTGTGCCAGAGCCATTCGACGAGAGCATGTCAATCGGGAATCTGCTCAACCCTTGAGCGACCTCGTGTACCAAAGGACTCGTGGGAACTGTTTCTTTGTCGTGGAATTCCTTCGCAGCCTTTCCGACCGGGGCCTCCTGCAGTTCAACCTCAGTACACTACAGTGGTCATGGCAGATCGATCAGATACAGGCAGAGACCTGTGTCTCCGACAATGTCGTTGACTTGGTGGCAGGAAAGCTCAAGACTCTGTCAAAGGAAGCACGTTATGTGCTCGTAATGGCCAGTTGCATTCATTCTCCAAGGATTGACCTCAATGTCTTGACCAAGATTATCCTTGCCTACCCAAACGCAAATGGCGACAAGCTGTTTGGCGACAGTTGGGTCGGCGACAGTTTCATTGCTCTCCACAATGCGATTGACTGCCCGGAAATCAACGATGAGGCCGATGTACAGAAAATCCTTGAGTCACTCGTATCGCTGGGACTCATGGAACGGCTTTCTACCGTCGAGGCAAAATCTGCCTTCAAATTTGCCCATGAGAAAATCCGCAATGCGGCCGAGCTGTTGATCCCTAAAGACTTCACGGGTCAAATGCTGCATGTTCGTATCGGTGAGTCCACCATAGTGCTTGTTCCTCCCTTAGTTCTCTTTTTGTGTCCACCCCATCACTCATCTCTTGTTTCTTGCATCCGTTCGCTCATGTCCGTCCGTACAGGAGAGCTTTTGAAGGCTATGCTGGCAGATCCTGATGCCCAGACTTGGATGCTATTTGCTTGCTTGGACCATCTGAACCAGGGTCCCGAGAGTGTTCTCAACGAGCGGCAAGACGAACTCGTGGAGTTGAACCACCAAGCTGCTGACAAGGCCGCACAACTTTCGGCATTTGTTCCCGCTGCCACGTACTACAAGGCAGCCCTGGATATGTTGGAGAAGACGCCAGAACTCAACAAGGACAAGATTCAGTTGCAGCTTCGGTTGAGAACCGACTTGTCGATTTGCCTGTACCGGAGCGGCAAGCATGACGAGAGCGAGGAAGTGGCCAAGGCAGTTGTTGGCAGTGGCGTGGCGCTTTCCGACAAGCTCCCTTCTTTCTACAACCTTATTGCGGTGTACAAGGCGCAGGGCAAGATGATGGACGCGATTTCTTGTGGTATGGACCTACTTCGTGCCACCGGAGAAAAGTTCACGAAGAAGCCTTCCAAGCTCCGGATCAAGCTTGAAACAGCCAAGGTCCAGAAGCTTCTCAAGAAATACAGTGACGAGCAGCTCGTTGCCTTGCCACCAGCCACTAATGAGCTCAAGGCGGCTGCAGTAAACGTGTATGCGATCCTCTTTGGGCCAATGTTTCACTGTGGATTTACCGCGGCAGTGGATCTCTTGAGGCTTCGGTCTATCTACTTGACAATCAAGTACGGATCCTCCGATGCTTCTGCCTTGGCCTTTGCATACTACGGCTCTCATTTGATTTCGCAAGGTCGCATTGATGCAGGGTACCGGTTTGGCAAGCTATCCATGCAGCTTTTGCAACGTGCGACGTCACAGGAGCTGACAGCCAGAACCACGCTTGTGGCGAACTTTCTCGTTACCCATTGGAAAGATCCTCTGAGCCAGACTCTTGATCGTTTGATGAAGGGATATGACGTGGGCATGAGGGAAGGGGACATCGAAATGGCGTTCACTTGTGCAGGTGTTTATCAGGTGCATCGCTTCTACCTGGGTCTGTCTCTTACAGAGGCTGAAAAGGATCTTCGTAAATTCATTCAGCAAATGAAAGAGTATGGCCAGCATAAGGAGCTCACTCAGTACAGGCCGTTGCACCAAACAATGCTAAACCTCATGGGCCGCACCGAACACCCTACTATCATGACCGGTGATGCCATGGACCAGGTTGAGTTTGAACAGGGAAATCTTGGGGTTGTGGTTATGAAGTCCTACCGCATGCAGCTTGCTTATTTCTTTGACGATCTTCCTCTGGCCGAACAGCTCATGAACGAGCTCCGTCCTCATTCGAACTCGTTTGTGGCCCCCTTTTTCCAGGTTGCCCGTCGTTTCTTCTTTGCCTTGATTCGAATGGGAGTTGCTCGCAAGGCTCCTGCGAAGAACCAGGCTGCCATGCTGAAGAAGGCGTCTAAGGAAGACATTGAGTGGCTTGAGATCCGGGTCCGTGGCGGTGCCATCAATTGTTTGCACAAGCTCCTGATCCTCATGGCGGAGATGTCAACATTTGACTCGGACCATGACACCATTGGAAAAGCCTATGACAAAGCCGTCATGACAGCAGGAAGATCCGGTTTTTCGCAAGATGAGGCTTTGGCGAACGAGTTGGCAGCATCATTCTTTTTGTCAGTGGGAAACTTTCCAAAGGCATCCAATTACCTAACGAGAGCTCACGAGCTGTATGAATCCTGGGGAGCCCATGGCAAAGTGAAGCAACTCGAGGAGAAGTATGTGTTGATCAAAGGAACGGGTCCTGCCGTGGCGAGCACAGCCGGTGGTAAGCGTCGTTCCCGAGGATTGAAGGCGGGAAAGTCTCATATTGGAAGGCAGAGGTTTTCTGCCAAAATGTCAGACACCCACAAACACATCGAGTCATCCGCAGCTTTCAGCAACTTGAGTGAGGATTTTTCTGTGAGCGATCTCAAGCAGGCAACTCAGTTCAACGTCAAAGCTGCCGCGGCATGAAATGAAATGGCTACCTTAGCTAGACTGGTGCACCTTTGTGATAAGATTGTAAATTAATAATAGATGCATGCAATTACAGCAATAACAAGTAACCAGGTTTGACTTAGCTTAGAAAGTGAGCAAATAATTTCCCTACTCTAAACCCCCGTTATTAAATACTTGCCCTTGGTTATTTGTTATCTAGCTAGCTAGCTAGTAGTTTGGTCTCCCAGACCACGCTCCTTTTGGTTTCCCCCTCAGTTGCACTCCGAAATCGATTTGCCGGCGTTTACTGTGTAAATTAGAGTACCGGCACTTCAGTTGCAGAATCAACGGTCATGTGTATCGTTAAGTAACAAGTTCCCTTTCGAAAGATTTAGATTGATTTGTGGATAAAAGAACCGTTGAAGTTACTAAGGTTAAGGATAAACTGATTGAGTACGGTACGATGAATCGAATCGAATCGCACCTCTATCAACACAACCAAGTCCATTATTGAAGGCACATCACAGACTTCTTTCTCTCATTGAATTCCTATGGCAAACAGGAGAGAAATCCAAGCTTGGCCGACAAGAATGGTGTTGGAACGATTGAACGACTGTTACGGTACCGGTACGATGTAAGCCTATTATCAAGAGTGTTATTGAAGGTGTAGATTCGAAAGCCATGCCTCATTGAATCTCTATGGACCACGGGAAGGCAGTCAGATCTCGGCGGTCAAAAGGTGAGTTGTTCTTTAATTATTCGAGTGACAGTCAATCGATTGTAATTATTCGAGTGATAGTCAATCAATCGCACCTCTATTATCAAGCCTCACTCAAAGCCGTCCTTCTCCGGTGCAGATTGGAAAGCCATCCCTCATTGAATCCTATGGACCATGGGATGGCAGTCAGTTCTCGGCCCTTGGTGGAATTTGAAAACAAGAGTAAGTCTTCGGTTGTTTGCAGTTCAGCACAGAAAACAAAACTCATATCTATTTGTTGTTTTCTCTGCTGCACTGCTGACGGCCGAGGAAATACCATTGTTGCGTCCTTTTCGAACGAACGCATGAACGAACGCTCCAGGAAATACGAGGAAGAGGCTACTGTCGATGGAAGCTCTGTTAACTCCAGCCCTACCAGCAACTTGAGCGGATTGTCGTGGAGTCATTGAAAAGGCAACAAGAGGAGGCTACATGACAACGCACAAACAGAGAGGAGAGTGGATCCTCTGATTGGATTCATCCCTCCTTTGATATTTCCTAGTGTTTTGGTGGTGATTCCTGTGTGGGTACCCATTTTCCTGTGTGAACAATGTTTGTGACGCCTGGATTGGCAGTATTCCTGTACTCATTATAATGGTGAGGTAATGGAGCATAGTGAGCAAAGCCGAACCTGAGTGTGTTCGGTACTGTTGCCACTGTCGTGGATGTAGCTATACCGCAGCCAGCTACAATGGCTGGATTCATAATGTTCGGTTGTGCATGTATTCGTCATCAGGATCCAATGCAAGACTTCGGCAACAGAGTGTAGCCAGCAAAGCGGAACCTGAGTGTGTTCGGTACTGTTGACACTGTCGCCGATGTAACTGTACGTTAGCGGGCTACAATGGCTGGATTGACAATATTCGGTTTTGTGCATGTATTCGTCATAAGGCCGGTCTCTACCCAAGCGACTAAAGTAGCGACTAAGCCATATTTCATAGTTTAGTCGATAGTTTAGTCTCTGGGGGTGGTGTCTACCCAAGCGACTAAACGTCGTACGGACTAAAGGCTTTAGTCAAAACGTTCGTTCACCGACTAACGGGAGGCTGGTTAGTCGGTGAGCGAGCGTAAGAAGGACTAAAGCTTGTTTAAGAACTCTTTAAGAATGAATCAATCTTCAATCAGCCTCATTGCACAGCCTCAACAACAGAGGCATCTACTTGCCCAACAAGCCAAGCTGTAACTCAACCTTTAGTCACTGCGTTTAGTCAAGCCAATATACTCTTCTATTTGCACCTCTGTGGTGGGCACCTCTGTGGTAGGCCGTTATTATTATGTCGTCCTCATCGGATTCCGAGACTTTATCCGAGCCAATTTTGGATTGGGAGAAACAATATTCCGCTTGGCAGGAGGCGGCTAGGAAGGACATCGAACGGGCATACGGTGTGATTCAGGCCAAATTCCAATATATGGCTCGTCCATTCCTGGATTTGGAATTGTGCAAAATTGGAAACCGTGTCAACACCTGCCTCTTCAAGTCCCCACGAACAGTGTGTTGTGGATCGGCGTCATGGGAGACGTGAGGCCAAGTCGATCCAAGTGTGCAACTACAGTTGATCGAGTAATTGTCATTGATGTGCCGCCTGACAGGCAAACTGTCCAAAAACTAGTAGAGGGGCCACCCGAGATTGGTTGGGAGGAATAACCAAGGAGTGTTCGAGATACTATGATTCGTATGCCGCCACCGTATATCGACAGGATGACAATAGTGGAACATTGATCCACCCAAAAAACTATACCGAGGTTTTAATTCAATAATTCAATAACTATAGTTTGTGTCCAGTTTTAAATTCTACAAGAGCCACGTGTAGACGCTCATGCTCTGTGATATCCATCAGCGAATGCCACTGTTGCCTACGAATCATAGTATCTCGAACACTCCTTGGTTATTCCTCCCAACCAATCTCGGGTGGCTCCTCTACTAGTTTTTGGACGGTTTGCCTGTCAGGCGGCACATCAATGACAATTACTCGATCAACTGTAGTGACACTTGGATCGTACTTGGCCCTCACGTCTCCCATGACCCGATCCACAACACACATGTTGCGGAGAATGAGGCAGGTGTTGACACGGTTTCCAATTTTGCGCAATTCCAAATCCAGGAATGGACGAGCCATATATTGGAATTTGGCCTGAATCACACCGTATGCCCGTTCGATGTCCTTCCTAGCCGCCTCCTGCCAAGCGGAATATTGTTTCTCCCAATCCAAAATTGGCTCGGATAAAGTCTCGGAATCCGATGAGGACGACATAATAATAACGGCCTACCACAGAGGTGCCCACCACAGAGGTGCAAATAGAAGAGTATATTGGCTTGACTAAACGCAGTGACTAAAGGTTGAGTTACAGCTTGGCTTGTTGGGCAAGTAGATGCCTCTGTTGTTGAGGCTGTGCAATGAGGCTGATTGAAGATTGATTCATTCTTAAAGAGTTCTTAAACAAGCTTTAGTCCTTCTTACGCTCGCTCACCGACTAACCAGCCTCCCGTTGGTCGGTGAGCGAACATAAAGACTAAAGCCTTTAGTCCGAGGGACGTTTAGTCGCTGGAATAGACACCCCCCGAGACTAAACTATCGACTAAAACATGAAATATGGCTTAGTCGCTACTTTTGTCGCTCCGGTAGAGACCGGCCTTTTGACGAATACATGCAAAACGGAATATTGTCAATCCGCCATTGTAGCCCGCTAACGTACAGTTACATCGGCCACAGTGGCAACAGTACGAACACACTCAAGTTCAGCTTTTACTGGCCTACAGTCCGTTACGGTAACCTTGCATTGAAATCCTTAGGCCGGTCTCTTCCGGAGCGACTAAAGTAGAGACTTAAAGGAGAACTTTAGCACCTTGTTTAGTCGCAGATTTATTCCGTAACCTTTAGTCAACGAGGTGTCTACCCTCCACTGACTAAATCTCGAACTAAACAATTTAGTCAATTTTTTTGTACCAATTTAAGAAAAACGTTATCTACCACGATCGACTAAACGTTTCGACTAACCAACGTTTTCGTTTTGGATTTCGCTAGCCAACGATTTCACTGCCATTTCGCTAGCCTCTTGTTCATTTCGCTAGCTAGTCTCTTGTTCTCTTGTTCTTTATTGTTATTCACTGATAGACCATGGCCAACACCAAGAAGAAGGCTAGTGAAGAGGCGGACGTTCCCTCTGTTGGGGAGGAAGAAGAGGATAGAGGAGGTTTACCGCTGTGAAAAGAACGAAGAGGAAGAAGCCTCTGATGATGGCGATTGATGATGACGATAAGGACGATGAGAGTATGGACACTGCAGCCCTTGGAAAGGAGCGAGCTTTTGGATAGAGTCAGTAAACCATTGAGGAGATCTCCTCGGCGTAAGACCGTCGCCAAGGTTACCACCAAGCCTGCCACCGCCAAGAAGACCTCGTTGTGGCAAAGGCGCCAAAGGCGGCAACAACATAAGAAAAAGAAAGTCAAGAAGACCACAGCTGTCGCTGATGACGAGGGCGAGGGCAAGTCCCAGCGCAAGCGTGGTTCGAATTTTGATGATTTTGAGGATCAACGATTGTGCCGTGCCTTCATCAGTGCCACACAGAGCATGAAGGGCACTGGTATGAAGAGAGGAGACTTCTGGAAGAATCGAGTTGCTCCAAAATACAACAAAATGCTTGACCAAGAGTCTGAACCTGATAACGAAGGTGACACTATCTATGTAACACAAGCCGCTGACAAGCTCCGTCGCCGTTGGAATTTACTTCCGGGACGCTGCCGAAAATCCATGGCTTGTTACCGTCGGGCCAATGCCGAGCACCGTACTGTATTCAATTCAGAGGAGGAATATATTGATTTTGCCGTGGAGCTATAAAATGAGGAGAACAATGAAGATTTCAATCATCGCAATTGCATTCCCCACTTGACAGAGTGGCCCGTCTTTGATCCCCAGATCACCGAGACAGAAGCTGATCGCAGAATGGATGAGTTGAATGCTGAGCCAAGTGGTGTTGACGAGAGCAAGCCGAAAGCCAACAATACTCGCGATCCAATGGGTTCTATGCATACCCTACCCACTGGCAAAAATACGACAAAATTCAACCTGGCTCTTTTCAACTCGGTGGCTTCGAGCAAACAGGAACGCAATCAACATCTGGAGTCCATTGCCTTTTACCAGCAGATGCTCTCCGATGGAGTAGTCCACCGTGGAAACATGAAGTCCAAGATGAAACGGGTGGAGCTTTTGATGAAGTTTGGCAAGATGACAGAGGCCGAAAATTTGTTGGAAGAAACAACAGCTGACGAAAAAGCATTCGA